CTTACTTTTGGCAGGTACGAAATGCATTCCAAAAATACTCAGATTTCTGCTTAACGCGTTTAGAAGACCATGCATTTTGTCGGCGTCTTCACACAGAGCAGGACAATATCATGAGAATACTCTAAGTCAACCAGATGACCTCCAGGGAATAGATCAATCGCTATGAAATCAGACGTACCTAAGGTCAGGCACATTAGTACATCTATAAAGAAATTAAACGGTAACGGTAAGAACAGATATCCCTGGAGGACACCACTAGTTGTCATCAATTCTGATTAAAGCTATCTACAAGCCCTTATAATGGCTCCATGAGTTTGACTAGAGAGCTTTGATCAGTAGCGCCATGTCATGTACTTGCTCAGTACCCCCTTCACAGTTACTCACTGCTACAGCACCTCATAGTCGAAAGAGTCAAATGCTGCATTCAGGTGAAGAAATATGGCTAGTGATCGCCTCCACTAAGCATGCATTTTCGGACCGATTGGGGGTTGAAGATGGAATCGACTCATCCTTGTTCAGGTTTGAAACCTGCCTGGTTTTCTCGAGTTTGCTATTCACGAGCTAAGCGTTGGATAACTATAGACTCTGGGATCTAGGATCCTACACAATGTTATTGTAATTAATCCCTATATGGTTATCACAAGAAGACCTCTCTCCTTTCTTATAGACTCGAATGATCAATGAAGTTGACTATGCTGGACTTTGAATCTCTGAGGGGATGACTGTTGACTCCAGTTTACAGATAAGCCTGGAGAAGGAGTGTCTACAAGTACGAAATTCAGGTCCAAGGCTTTCTAGTGAGTCTCCAGTCATATAACATCAATCAAAGTGCATTACAATGCTTAATCTTCTAGCTTAAAGACCATATCGGGAAATTATCAAGGGAATTCGGTCAGCAATGGGGACTAGACGATACAATATTAACCACTCTCCAGTGAAATACCAGGGTATACAATCCTATCCTAAGGGAGGTTATTTATAGTGTAAATAGATAAATAGTAATGCTAATGACTTCAGAAATGGTTGACGTGAGTTCGAATCTTCACGGATAGATGAGAGTCCCCTCAAGTTTGCAGATGCAAGTAATAACAAGCAGGAAACCCGCTTTCAGAATTGCTTGCTGATTGACTCTAACTATCTAATATTTAAATATTGGATCTCAATGGAGCCTAAATTCAATAGTTTCAAATTATTGTGACCACTTGATGGTGGACTTTGTCAAAGAATCATCTCTGTCTCTTGTAATGTTTTATTTCTTTGAAAATAATCCTCTAAATTGATAGCTTTTAGAAGTTTATTGGTCTAACTGTCCTTGAATCGATTTCCTGACAGAGTGGTAGAGGAGTCTTAAACTATATTCCTCTCTAGTTCTCATTACTGACTTGGTTCGAGATGGATGTCCCGAAGTTCGAATGAGAAGCCATAACGTATGAGGTCAACCAAGTCAGAGGTGACATGGACATCAACTGATGACACTGGGTGATAATCGTGCTTTATCGCGAATTGACAGAAGTAGGGAAGTGTGAAACATTGAACTAAAACCCATTGGCTGAGTGATTAATGCATTCGCTAGGAAACCTGAAGGTCCCGAGTTCGAGCCCCGTTGGGGTCCTCAATGCTCACAGCTAAAGATTCTCATCTTAAGTCGAAACCGCTGTCTAGTGCCCCCAGATTTATGCGTAGTTTGTTTACAGGTTCTCGTACACATTTAAAATTTAATCAGCTTCATACTAATGTGTACTGTATGTCGTATTTGATATAATGGAGTGTAGAAACCAGTTAGTCCCCTACAGTAAACATTTGTGTTCATCTATTTCACCTTCTGATAAACAATGCAGCATCTACTGTTTATTGATACTTGTAATTTCCCCCCTTTTTGTTCTGGATCGAACTGGTTGACCTCTGTTGGACACAAGAGATGATGTTTGGAGCGGTAGGAACTAGTTTTGAGTCGCAGTAGGAACGTCATTACTGCCCCGGGTGAAGGTATATCCAACTGACGAGTCCAAAATAAGACGAAATCTGTGCCCTAGCTTCCACCAAGCAAATTACACAATATAATAACTAATTTATTACAATTTGACATACTCTACCTTTCTCTTCTTATTTATATTTCTATGCTTCTTTACTACCATCAATTGAATTGTTCAATTCATCTAGGTTCATGAAGTCAAGTAGTAACCTTGACCTTGAGTGATATATTTGTTAAAATTATCAATGGTAAAATTTTTATATGCACAATGCTGTTACTTTAAGAAGTAGTTTCGTTTTTCTTTCCTTTTCTATTGGCACAGTAAGGATTATTATTATTATTATTATTATTATTATTATTATTATTATTATTATTATTATTTGACTAGGCAGCCAATGTGAGTATACTTAAGCGATAGTAACGCACCACAAATTCACATTGCAGTTAGACATCGGTGTGTCATATTTAGGTACAAGGTTGATTCTTAACTAGTAGTTGAAAGAAACTCTCTGACTTGGAGTTGGATCCAAAACTACAGCCTCTACACTACCGATTCAACACTCTACCGACTGAGACCGAAGTGGAAACCAGATTTCATTTTCACTTCAGCTGTTAACAGTTTGGCTTGACTAACCTAACCAATCATTCGTTATCACACTGAGTATTCAATCGCTTTTCCTCGTTGGTTGGGTTATAAAAACAGACAGCTGGTTGATCGTTAGATAAACCAATTTATCTAGCTTAGATATTAATGCTAGATAGTGGCTAGCGATGAAATCTAAAAAGCACGTTTTATCCTTTTTGGGGCTCGTCAGGTAGGTGTACCTACCTTCTAGGGAGTGATGTTTTTCCTACTAACGTGAAACAGCCAGCTAGTGTTACATTAGCGTCTAGTTTGGACTTGGAGATGAACACAAAATTGAGTGTAATTATGGAGGTGGCAGTTCCATCAACCGGTACAAAATCTCTAGTTCAATATAAGAAATATCCTAGGAATAGTACTGTGCTGTATTTTTGAGCATTTTATGTCTGCACTCAACTTGAAATTGGTTGCACTCCCGTGACCGATCAATATATATAACCAAGTCCTACAGAAGGTCACTTGTGACCACCTGGATAGCTCAGTGGTAAAGTCGCTGACTACAACTCTTGGTGGCGCGGGCTTGGATCTCAGGCGAGATATCAGTCCTGTTGAGGTTGCACATACGCCTTCCTGACGAGTGCCAACAAGCACGAAACTTAAGCCCAGGGCTTCCTGCCGATTGCTGCCAACCAACTAGCATTTTAAGCCCATTTCCATGGAGTATAAAGTTTTTTATTTGTTTCATTCTTAGCTCATGAAATGATTCTAAGAAGGTACGAGAGTATATGTCATATCTAGGAAACATAAAGATTAAAACAAACTGGAAAGGGAAAGATTTGATAAAATATATTTGGTGGACAAAAATCCTTGGTAGCCTAAGATTTAAACAGACCACCAGACATCTCCCTACTTGAAACTCAGTTAAATGTACCTGAATCCCATTGAATGGCGGTGTCCCCATTGGGACTCGGACTCAGGATCCACATCCCTTTCAAACAGAAAGTTACTAGTAACCATAACTGACAACTGATATCCGTTTCACGATAAGTGGTTCCTATGACTCAGTAATTTAGTAGAGAACGCTCTTGTATTTGAGATGAGTGCTGCTTTCTTGTCTCAGTGAGAACACCATCAGTCACTAGGATTCGGGTATATTTGGCCCGAAAAAGACGAAATACACTTCTTGGAAAGCATTTTCAGCCATCAGTAAGCAATTTATAACTTAATGAATTTTCAAGTAACACAGAGGCATCCTCACAGTACAACAAAGGCTGGTCACTTCGGATAGTAAGGTGAAAACATAAATACATGTATTATAGGGGAGGAAGTAAAGATACACCGATCTGCTAGTCAAAATCATGACAAATAAAGCAATATACATAATACAGTCCTACAAGAGATATATCGCGGCCCGAATAGGTCAGTAGTAATGCCACTGACTACAATACTACTGATTGACGCAGTTCCCATTGAGGTTCCAGAAGCACTTTGCTGACGAGTGCCAACAAGCAGGAAACCTATGTCCAAGGTTTCCTGCCAATTGCCACCAACCAACTAACATCTATCAAGGTTAGGAACTGTTCTATTCACTGCTTGGGAATGGAACTGCGTAATCCAGTGAGTTCCAGTTGAACACACACATGCACGAAGAGAGAGATAAAGAGATGAAGAAATTAAGGGGATAATCAACACGACTTAAGTAAAAGTGAAGTAGAGTACAGAAAAAATACAAAACAGTGAAGTACCAAGTTCTGAAGTTAGTTTTTAATAAAGAATACATTCTTGCTTAGTCGCATTTGGCTTGGACAATCAGCATGAGAATTCATCTCTCCCTATCATAAATAGTCAACTATCTGTCACATTTTATGCTGTAGTTTACTTGGCAGTCAACAGGGGGAAACCCAGGACGCACGTCTCCTCCTATTAGGGGCTCATCAGTTGGATGTGCCTGGATTCCAGTTAGTGAAGTCAAAATAAATGGTCAGGCGACATCGAAGCATCCTCCCATGGAAGCCTATATCCCAACACAGGCCGATCATTTCAATTCAGAATCATAACGGATGGAATTACAACTCTTAAAGTTAGTTTATCAAAGTATCCTATGAACAAGCGGTTCACAAAGAATGGTTTATTCTTCTCCTGAAGTGTTATGAGTTCAATTTGAACTCTGTTTGCCAATATCAGTCATCAGATTTTATCATCGGTTGTTATTTAACATGTGTGACGTGTGTAGTTTGGTTCACAGACCTCCATTTCATGCTCCCTCCCCCCTCCCTCCCCATAACCACTTACCCCTTCCCAAGTTAGGCACATTTCATGTAGTTCATCATTTGATCACAAAGGCAAATACTCTCCTTCATCGTTTTCATGTTGTTTCTCCTTCTAGATATTATAATATTCCATTGAACAAAGGAATTATATTACTCAAATTGAATTTATCCTATTATGAAATCGGATTTGCTTTTATGGGCACAACTATTCAGTTCATCATCCAAGGATCTATTACGAGAAGAGTTGACTGATGGACTACTGTTGAATACAATATTTGGAATTATGTGAGTTGAAACATGCTTACTTTTTTCTCTTCACCGCCCCCCCCCCTTTGTTTGTATAATAAAGGGATCCAGGATATAACTGTTACTGATTCTCTCTACTTTAGTGGATGTCCATTACTATTCTGAGGATCGATATCGATTGAAATAACGTTGAAAGTTGATCTACACCACCACTGGAAAGAAAATATCTTATACTACTGATTACCATCGGTAGTTCGAAACCACTCACACTGATCTGTAGGCTTTGGTCTCCAGAACAGAGTGATTTATATACACAACTCACCCTCAGAAAAGCTAAACAACTTATATTCAGTGGTTAAGTCATGCTGATCTGGCTAGCAACATCTACAGAACAGCATTACAGGGTTTGTAACTACTCGTTTATTTTCAGTAGTATGTCGCATTAGTTTATGCCCACCATTCCTATTTTGGAAAACGCAGTGTACATGAGAACTCATCACCTTTTCTTAATCAATGTTTGCTGCTTATTTAGTCAACAATAAACCACGGAAAAGTATTCTTCAGTTCTAAACTTTCCCTTCAAGGAAGTCTTCATCATGGACTGACATTACTTGTCGAAACATTGAAATCAACCAATACCTAAAACTCTTAATGGGACACAGATGTCGGTCCTCCAACTCTCCTTGAAGCTAATAAGGCTGTGTTGAACCTGAAACGATGGAAAGCAAGCAGTACAACCTGAAAGTTTGTCATCTGAAGTTTTTAAGGCTGGCGGTAGGAAACCACTAATTAAAGTGGTGGGGATCAGAGGTAGTGGTATCAGACTGGTCTACTTCTCTTTTCATCACGGTCTATGAGAAGAGAGAATTATTCCGGTGACAACCATAATGGAGTTAGTTTGATTAATATTATGTCCTAGATCCTAGGCACAAAAGTTATCCAACGCCTAACTGTAGTTCGAGAACAGGAAATTCATGAAAGCCAGACAGGTCTCAGTCCTGGACCAGGGTGCGTTGATCATATTTTTACCCTTCAACAGGCTCTGGAACACATGCATACCTACTGGCTAGTGGCCGACACGCCATAATTCTTGACCTCAAGGCGACATTTGGCTCTGTCTATGATTAGGTGTTGTGGTAATGTCTGACTGAATGGAGTACCAACCAAGTATGCTACACTAATCGAAGCTCTCGACTCGAACTCACCCAGACGTGTTAGGGCTTATGGATACTTCTCATGTTAATTAACGAAAACTAGTGGTGTCCGCCAGGGATGTCCAATATCACCATTTCCGCTTAACTTCGTTACAGAAGTACTAATTGAAGTGACCATTGCTATATCTGACCTCTCAGGGATTGACCTACTCCCTAGATGTCATGCGGTTGACTTGAAGTATGCAGACAATATTTTCATGCTAGATGAAAAGGCCGAGAAAATGCAGGGTCTCTTGGATACGCTGTGCAGAAATCTGAGTATTTTTGGCAATGTTGGGGTTAGGCAAAAGGTGCCAGGCAAAGTAAGCATGACGATTGATGAGGTTGTGAAACTTCGTCATCTCAGGTGACTCAGACATGTACTGTGTATATCAAGTCCCTCCCTACCTCGATGTGCCATGCTAACAGCAGCTGTATTAGGTTGGATGAGGTCTGAAGGTGGTCAGACCACGACCTGGCATCAGTCCATGAAGTCTCTTACGATTAGTCTGAGCCGTGTAATGAGATGCAGACTTCCTGCTGGGGTCTCCGAGACGATAGGAATCAGTGGTTGAGGACTGTTGGTGACATGATTTAAAATCGATCATAATGGTGCCGATGTATGCAGTTTTTGACATCTTCTAACGCCTGGATATTTTCACTAACCTTTATTTTCAAATCGTTTATGCTGTTGCACAACTTTGTCTACTTTGATATCACTTCTTTCGTATAGACTTGTTCTTTGCATACTCCTGTGAAGTGTGGCAACTTGAATCGATGCACCTGTGTGTGAGGTTCTATGTTGATTTGATCAGTCAGTCATACCTCTGAATTTGAATTACTGTTCCCTGCCCATCAGTAACATACTTCGACATATATATATATATATATATATATATATATATATATATATATATATCCTGAAGTTCTAATGAAAATTAGTGACCTATAGAGTCAACCAAGTTGGGCGTAATGACAAATCCTCAACCATAGTATTGAATGGAGGTCACGGTATTTCGTGAGTTGATGGAAGTAGATAAAATTAAGACCATTGAATTCCGATTTACTAGCTCGATGGTAACGTACTCGCCATAATACCTGATACTCCTGAGTTCGATTCCTGATATAGTCGTGGGTACGCAATAATAGGACAAAACAGCTGTCCAGTGCTCCCAGATCTTCACTGTTTCTGCAGCTGATGTCAGTCCATTTTAATCATCGCCATGAAATTTATAAGTCCTCAGAAACCTGGAAATTGTGTGTTTAAACTTCATTGGTATCGGTTAAACAGGATCCATATAGTCGATAAGTTTCAATTAGGAAGATGACATTAGTTTACAGTATTAGTGGAAATCATAGAGTATCTGTGTAACCCTCGTAACACTTTAGCAGGTGATGAGGATAAATGTTTATGGAATTCAGGCGTAAAATTTCCTAAACTTCATATAACTAATGGATCTGATTCCAAACATCTTTAGTGACGAAAGTAAATTCATGGCTGATATCCTACAGCAGAAGATATTAGAAGATTCAAAGCGGAAGTAACCTCTAATTTAGTAAACCTTTTGAATAGATATGCTACTAACAAACAGAGATTCAGTTTTATTCTATCTCGAGGTTTGTGGTGAATTATTAATTGATTTTCGGTTGGAATTCATCTTGGATCGGCATCAGTCAGAGGAACATTGGAAATCTGGGAAAACTGGATAGCTGTTTCACCCTAGTATGTGACTCTTCAGCAGTGCACACCTATGATCCTATCGAAGATCGAACCCAGAACGTTCAGTTTCCATGGCCACCACGTTACCCTCGATTCAATTTATTCAAATCTATGAGATGTTATTATTTGTAATTTATTTGTCTCTTGAGTCCCTAGTGGAACACAGGGCTTCAGTAGCATGTCTCCATTCCACTCCATTCTCTACAGTCTTTTTCCTTAACCTGGCTCCATGACTCCCCATAAGATTTCATTTCTCCCTTACACAATCTCCTCCACGTCACCCTCACCTCACACTCCCAACTCGTCGTCTACCCTCTGGGTTCCACTCGACGGCCTGGCATGGCGCGTCATATCTCCAAACGGTCTTTTCAGTCTATGCCCAATCCATCTCCACTTTCTTCTTCTGCACATTTGTTGGACGATGTTCTCTTGTTCGGTTAGTTCGTTGTCAGTCGGAGTGACTTCCTTGTTGCTTATTCTTATTATTCTGGCCATCTGATCTGATATTCAGTATCGAGTGAGCGCAGGCGGCAGCTGTTGTTGGTGTCTGTTTGTGGTTTGTTGGAAATTCTTTTCACAAGGCGCCAAGTCTCTCAACCATCACATCAAAGCATTGACTTACTCGAATGAATTAATGTTGAAAATCAGCATCCTTTTCTTTATGTTGAGTGCAGTAGATCCCCGCACTGGTTTCAGATTGTTGAAGGCCTTTTTTTTCTTTTCCGATGCTGACTTTGACATCCTCATCTGTGTCACCGCCTGTAGTTGAAACGATGGTGCCTAAGTGGGTAGGTAGGTAGGTAGGTGGAAGATAAAACTTCCTTTAGGTTTCTTCCGTTGATTTTGATTGGTTTTTTTATTGTTGGTGGCTTTAGTTGGGTATCATCATCAACTCTGTCTTCTCTACGTTTACCTGAAGAAAAACCTGTCTTCCTTCGCTGCTCTGCCCTGACTCTTCTGTCAACTTGTTAGTTTTTGTCTGTAGATCTTCGAGTTTGTGCAACAAAACATTAAACATAAATCATCATCAGCGAAATCCAAATCTTCTAGGGTCTTTTCATGGGTCCAGCCAGCGTAACCTCTTCTTCTCGCTCTTCACAGTTTTTTGCATGATTCAGTTGACCACAATTAAGAAGATCGTCGGTGATAGTAGGCAGCAACTTTTTCTTACTCCTGTCTTCAAAGGCGTCATTCTATGGGATATGAATTTCCAAGGTTTCATAAAATTAATAATCTCTTAAGCCCTATATTGTCTATGTGTTGTTTCCCTACACATAAAAATTGACAAATTGGTTGACAAAAATGTTAACTGTAGTTTGAAATGAACTCTGTATGTTCTCATTGTAAGATACTTGGTAATATGTTGACTGTATTTCGATGTAAATTCTTTGTACACTTACTTGCTGTTGTCCAGAACTACTAATATTCTCTTGGACTACATATCTTCAAGAAACTTTGCATTCCTTATTATTGAGACTTTTCTCAAGAAATTATTATTAATTTGTCACGATAAAGTTCGTTTCATATTTGAAGGTGAACACTTTCGTCAAGTTGGTGTTATAGCTATGAATAGTTCCTTAAGACTATTATGAATTGATATTTATATATCATATATCGAAAATCTGACTGATGATCTCATCGTTACATTTCCCGTTTACAAGAGATATGTTGATGACATTAAAGTGATTTGTGAGAATCATAGAGATATGACTTGTCTATTAAGAAAACGTAAAGCAATTTACAAACTAATATAAGCTTTACTTGTAAGGCAGAGAGTAATAATCCTCTGTCATTCTTAGATGTACTATTGAGTCGACAAGAAGATGGTTCAATAAAACGGCCAGTCTACAGAAAGTCTATATGGACAGGACAATATCTGAATTTTGACAATTTTTGTCCTGTTCAATACAAGTGAGGTCTAATGTCATATCTGTACATTAGATACGATGGATGAAGACGTCAAATTACTGACCGAAACTAACCAAAACTGGATTTCCACTGAAATTCATAAATCATTTTAGAAGTCAAGTAGCACCGAAGGCAGCTATACACATGATTCCTAAGAAAAGTGTCTATATCACTCTACCATACAGAGAGGAGAGTCGAATAGTATCATTTTGAGACGA